GAGCTGCTCTCCTTCATGTCTGGGATGTTTAGCCGACTGTTTATTTATTCATCTGGTGTGATAGTAAAAGCATTTTATGAGACTTACCACTAATCTGGCAACTAAATCGTTACCAAACAACAAAACAACTTTTTAAAAAATCCAAAAAATAGATTTTTTAAAAAATCCATTTTTCATCAATCGTTTATGGGTACCATAACTTGAGCAGGTGTTTCTCAGAGTTTCCCACCAGAGCTGTGTTATTACACACCTGTACCAACATGTTGGTGAAGAAGTTGTTTGGTAACGATCTAGTTGCCAGATGTTGATATTTTTCCCTGAGCTGCTGGAGTCGACCACAGGCGGCTCACCTTCATCTCCATCAACACGTGTTCGTCTTCTGGCGCGAGGAAGTCTTAAAGAATCTCAGGTGTGTGCAGTAGGAGGCTCTGCCGGCCCAGACCAGACGGTGGAGCTGCAGGAGGCTCTTCAGTCCTTCTCCTGTGAAGCTTCAGTCAGCAGCAGACCTGCTAGAAACACCGCTAGAAGCTCCTGCACTCGTTCCAGGACAAACCTCGTCCCGTCGCTCGTCTTCTGAACCAGGAGCACTGAAGTCTGACAAACAGCCCAAAATATAAGCGTAGTGATCGGCGCTGCACTGATGATGTCTGGACCAGTCGTTTAGTTTCCTGTCAGTTGTTCAGCAGACAGGAGCAGCGTTGGTTCTGCTGCCTGTTTGATCTGCTGCCGCCACATTTAGTTCTTTCTTTCAGGGTTTCGTTCAAATGCACAAGCTGTCGACGGCCCAGCGATGAAGCTGACGCGTCCGAGTCTGGTCCATCGTTTCTGTTCAGGCGGCGCCAACGTCACATCAACATAAAGTGATGTTTTATGGCGTCGTGGCCAAATTCAGGGGGGCGCCATTTCCACGCCGTCAGACTTGTGCGGACCGTTTTACTGACGTGTAATCACCACCTGCTGTAGCCGGCTGGTCAGGTGTGTACGACCGTCCCTGTAGGAGGAGAGAGATGTCTGAGATGTCGCCGTTTGTCCAACATGGTGGATTTCCTGTTGGGTTTACAGAAACACGCTGATGGACTCTTTTGTGCGTCCCGACCTGCTACATGTGTGGACCGTTTTTTGTAGCTCTACGTGAAACGTAGCCGCGATGGGACTCTGTTGAAGTACTGTAGGGGGCGCTGTGGAGCTGGGTTGCATTTTTGAGCTTGGAGCTGGTTTTTGTTGGTGCCGACCTGCTCCATGTGCCTACCAAATGTCGTAGCTCCAGACCAAACGGGCTTCAGACAGGGGGCGCTGTGGAGCCAGTGACACGTCCAAGTCTACTCACATACCAACATTTTCTCCGGTCCTGGTGTGCGTGGCGGCTCTGGTGAGTTTTTGTCCATGTTTAGGTTCTCAAAATCTCGTTTCCTTTGGCGGAACAGTAATAATAAACCCGCGGGTTCCAACAGGGTTCTTGCTCCAGTGTGTCGGACCAGAACCCGTCGTGCAGCCGCTGATTTACAGAGAACAGCAGCAAACAGGTGTTCTGTCATCAGTTTAATCCTGAGCTGTGGTTCTGTTCTGTCTGGACCTGTGTGGTTCTGGCTGTACTGTGTGGACTCAGTGTGTCAGGTGTGCTGTTGAGAGGCCCGGTCCGCCATCATGGATCAGCTCCTGCGTCGCCTACGCTCCCCTCAGCAGACGAGGGATTGAGGGAGAACACAAGTGAAGCGAGGTCAGCTTTAAAAGAGCAGACGGCAGCAGCGAGCGGACCGGGCCCGCGGGGAGCTCGGCGCTAAATGGACCGCGGCTCCGGGGAGCCTTCAGCACAGTGTGGCGGGTTTACAGAACAATGTGCTGACCTTGTTTGGCTCTGCTCCTGCTCACACCTGAGTGTAGATCAGCAGCTGGTTGGAGGTCGACGCTGAGGAGGAACTGAGACGTACGACGGACAAACGGAGCGTCTGGCAGCTGGGCGTCAGAACAACATGCTGAAGAACCGCTGAACAGAACAGCACCTTAGGCGTAGAGAGGATGGATGTTCTGCAGGGAGAACGTGATGACTGCGAGGCGTTTAGGGAGCATCTGGAAACGGCAGCGCCTGCCAGGGAGGAGTTCTGGGGTTTGGTTTAGTTCATGCTCCACCTCCAGGAGGCGCTTTAAACTCGGCCCGTTGATGTGGATTTAGAAGGAAGCAGCTCCGCGTGTGTTTAATCTGCTTCATGTGGACGTCAGTGATAGTTTGGCTGATGAATGCAGTGAAGCTGTCCAGAGGAGCATCATCTGTATCTCCTGTCTGTCTTTTCACAGGTAGTATTATTAACCACACACGGGGAGTCGTTACAGCATCAGTAAATACTTCCACATGTCAGACAGATGTTGTACCTGAACCCCCCGTCAGCGGTTCGGTCCTCGTCTGCAGCTCCAACATCAAACCAAATCCCCACTTTGCTGCGTATTAATCAGGTTTTAGCGTCGCTCTGAGACGGGAAGCTTCCCGGCGATCCGGTTTAGTGCTCAGCAGAGCGGCCCGGTCCCTGAATGTGCTTCCAGCTCCGGATCAACAGGTGCAGTAACAAGCGCCAGCGTTTCCGCCGCATCATGCTTTATACATGCGCCGAGTCGCTCGGAGCTGCATCTGACAGAATCTGCTGCTTTGATTCGGCCTGAGCCGGGTCTGTGCGCCGCGGGAGGCGTCGGCAAGGTGAAACATCCTAATTATCAGAGACAGCCGCTACGCTGCTCCGTTAGCCCCACTTCACCTCGTTAGCAGCCCTCAGACGCTCAGCTCACGCCGTTTAAGGATTCAGCTTCCTGGCGCTCCTCCGCTGGTCTCTGACTGGCTTCTGTTGTTGTTTTGGCCCTACAATTATGAAAACAACAGTTTGCTGCGTGAACGTTATCGATCGCTGCGGTCGTTTCCAGTCCGGCCTGAGGGTGGCGCCGTCGTCTGTGTTCCGATGACACAGTCGCTTGATGCTTGGTGTTGAATCGGGTCGTTTAAAAGCAGAACCATGAAGGTGATCCAGACGGTCTACAGCCCGTTAGCTGCCTTAAGCACACCAGGACGAGGGATCAATGATTATCAGTGATCAATATTTTACACCAACACAACTCTTGTTTATCAACAGGACATGATAGCATGATGCTATTAAGGAGCTCTGTCACTCAAACGTACAGTAACAATAGGAGTGATGACATCAGAGCATCATGTGACGCTCAGACACTCTCCTCCGTTTACTGATCGATCGATTGATCGATTGATCGGTTTGTCTCCAGCAGCTCCACCTGCTGCTCCTCTGTTTTCTTTCCCAATAAGGTCCACATCTTAAAACTTTATCAACTCAGTTTCAGTTCAGTCTGTGGCTACCTGCTAACTTTGCTGCTAGCTGTTAGCGTAGCGTTAGCTGCTGGGAAAGCTGATTGGTGGAGATGTTTGTGTGCTTCTTGTTCAGTTTTCACAGGTTATGCCTCTGCCCAGTTAAACTTAATCTGACTTTAGAAAGGTAACACGACGCTCCAGCTAGCGTTAGCCACAGGCTAAGAGGCACAGCTAGCCTCTCAGTGTTAGCGTTAGCCTAGCTAGTCAGCAGAATCAATTCCAACCGCACTGAGACCAACAGGTTGATGATTCAGGTGTGTTCAGGGCGTGTCAGTGGAACGTTGTGGCGTTAATTACAGCTCAGCAACATTTTTATCTTTTATTAAAGTCACTTTATTGTCGTTGCACAGAAAACAAGACGCAGTTTAGCATCTAAGAAAAGTGCAACAGCAGCAGTGGCGTGCAGCCTCTACAGGATGGTTCATCCAGCTGCTGTGAACATATGAATACAACACAGACCAGTAGGTGGCGCTATGAGCAGCACAAACAATGTAAACAGGGTTTCTGCTCATTGAACGGAGCTCCAGTCTGATCATGTGCTCGTCTGTCTCTCTGTGTAAACAATGGCTGTCTGTGATTGGCTGTTACTGGTGATGTTCAGCCAATCAGAGGGACTAGTGGCTCTGGTTGCTCCATAACTAGTTAGTAGTTGTTTATAGTCGTCAGCGGTCTGCTTCTCAGGAGAGCTGAGGTCCGGTTATACGTTCTCTGTTGTGTGAGACACTAAAAATGAACGTTTGTTGAAACAGTGAGAGTCTGAGTGACACTTTGGTGGCTGCTGGAAACATCTGGACGTCCACAAAGACCATGTAGGAGGAAGGGTGTGGGAGGTCACAGGAGGATCTGCTCTGAGAAGATTCAGGA